AGTAGTTTGAGCATTCTTTGGCATTGCCTTTCTTTGGGATTGGAATGAAAACTGACCTTTTCCAGTCCTGTGGCCACTGCTGAGTTTTCCAAATTTGCTGGCATATTGAGTGCAGCACTTTCACAGCATCATCTTTCAGGATTTGAAATAGCTCAACTGGAATTCTATCACCTCCACTGGCTTTCTTCATAGTGATGCTTCCTAAGGCCCACTTGACTTCATATTCTAGGATGTCTGGCTCTAGGTGAGTGATCACACCTAGATTATCTGGGTCATGAAGATCTTTTAGATTAGATTAAGAGACTTAAAAAGACATCAAATGTACTAAATGAAGTAAGTCAGAGAAAGACAAATATGATATCACTCACGTGGACTCTAATTTTTTTTTAAAATGATACAAGTGAACTTATTTATAAAACAGAAACAGACTTACAGATATTGAAAGCAAACATATGGCAGCCAAAGGGGAAATGTGTGAGGGAGGGATAAATCAGAAGCTTGGGATTAACATACACACACTACTATATATAAGATTGACAACCAATAGGGACTCACTGCATAGCACAGGGAACTCTACTCAATATTCTGTGATAACCTATATGAGAAAAGAATCAATATACGATATGTGTAACTGAATCACTTTGCTGTACATCTGAAACTTATGCAACATTGTAAATCAACTACACTCCAATAAAATAAAAAGACATCAAATGTTTTCAAATGGACAAGACTATAGTATCTATGGATGTACATTTGGATGATGATACTATAAAATAGATACAAAGAAGTTAATACTGTAGTCAGGAAATGGCTGCTTATTGGCAGCAGAGTAGTGTTAGTTGTTCAGTCATGTCCAACTCTTTGCAACCCCTTGAACTGTAGCCCACCAGGCTCCTCTGTTCATGGAATTCTCCAGGCAAGAATACTGGAGTGGGTGGCCATTTCCTTCTCCTGGGAATCTTCCCAACCCGTGGATCAAACATGTGTCTCCTGCATTGCAGGCAGATTCTTTACTGTCTGAGCCACCAGGGAATATAATATAATGTATTATATATACATTTTATAAATTATATATACATTACATAAAATATAATGTAAGTGCTTTGTAAATAGTTGAAGATGAGTAGCTATGTAAATAGTTGAAGATGAGTAGCAAATTCAAGTTATGTATTTTGGAATTTCATGGAAATTTTTTTTTCAAATATTTTCCATCCTTTGATTGAATCCATGGATATGTAGATATGAAGGGCTGACTGTATTTTCTTCTCTCTAAATATCAAATTCTTAGCAAATAAATAGTACCATATACACTTTCAAAGTAAATTCACAAGTTTTTTGTTTGTTTGATTTTGCTTTAACCTGTCATGTAACATACTGCCATGAGTCTTTGGATGTGGCATCTAAGCAAAAAAAGCTGCATGTGGTCACTCTCTGTATGAGAGATATAAATAAGTAAGGAGACAACATTTTTGTGGACTATTTTTAAAGCATGATAAATAGGATTATCAATATTATTCATGATTTAAATATTAGGTATACATTACAGATCATCTCCATATCAACAAATATGTAAGGGAAACACTAGAAATAAAAATTTTATAATGTTCTTATGCAGTGCTTGGCAGCAGAAGAGGATTATAATTGGGATGGGGCATATAGACAGGACTTCTGGGAAGGTTCTAGTTCTTGACATGCCAGCGGTTATAGGAGTGTTTAATAATTCATTAAGTTTTTTTTTTTCTTGTCTGACCCAAACAATTTATTTTCCGCATAAACATATAACCTCAATATGAGATGTCTAACTAAAGCAAGCACCACCAACAAGACCAAGACAGCATCTCCTCTTCTAAGGTTGAGGTTTTCCCCAGAATTCTTGATACAGGGAATAGCCCATACCAAGAGTCTTTGCTCCCATAACAAAGCCTTGGGCTGCCACACGCATGTGGATCAGGTAAACAGACATTTTAGTATTTCCCCTGCTCTTCAATCTATATAATCCATATGCAACAATTGCTGCAAAACCTGTCATTCTAATGGGGACAAATGGTGCCTCTCTAGCTTTTCAGATAAGTTTAGATCCCTGATCTTCATGATATGAAAAAAGAGAAATATCTGTGTCGCTTGACATGGTGACTGAAGAATCTTCAGACAACTTCAAGACGTTTCAGGTTCCTACCGGATTCTGACCCCACCTTAATAATTCATTAAGTTTTATATTTATTTTGTGTGTTTTCTACACATGTGCTTTATTTTTCCAATGAACAGTTTTTTAAAAAGAATAACAAGGCAGTGTTATAAACAATTTTATGCCAATAAATTCAACAACTTAATTGAAACAAATTCTTTGAAAAACACAACTTACCAAAACTAACTCAAAATGAAATTAAAAGTTGGAATACCTCTATATGTATCACAGAAATTGAAATTATCAAAACCCTCCCCCACAAAGAAAACTCCAAGCCCAGATTATTTCACTGATGAAGTCTATCAAATACTGAATAATGCTACCAAACTTACAAAAATGTTTTCAGAAAACAAAGTTACTTCCTAACTTCTTTTAAGAGGCCAGCATAATCCTGATACTAAAACTTAAACAAAAGTTTATCAGAAAATGAAATAGTTATATTTTATTATATTGAGGAATTATTAATTTTAGGTGCACTAATCCAAATAAAAGTCCTTATATTTTAGAGATACATAATAAAACATTATAAATAAACTAGACTCATATCTAGTTTTGCTTCAAAACAATCTTGGTTAGGGGAAGAGTAGTTGAGGGAATAAATAAACCAAGATTGACCAGAGTTGATAATTATTGAAGTTGGGTGACGGATGCATGGAAATTCATTATACTATTTTCTCTAATATTGTTTTCACTCAAGATTTTTCATAATATAAAACAAAAAATAACTACAAAATGATTAAAAGACATTAAATATATTAAAACAATAAGTTCACAACAATAATTTAAAAAGAAAGTAAAACAAAACAAAACCATTGAACACAAAGTTGCTACAACATCAACTTACTATTTGAAAGGAATAAATAAGGGCAGAGATTTAAGCACTTATCTTACTATTCTGGTATGAACTTTATTTCAGGGTAACCAAATGGTCCTGAAGAATGTAAAAAAGTTTTTCTGTAGAGAATTAGAACTAATAGAAGAAAAAATAATAGCATTAGAGATAATCATTTTGTAATTGCTAGTGAAATGACCAAATTATAAAATGGTCATAAATGGATGGTAAAACAATTTGGTGAAGAATTGATAGAGAACCTTATGATACAGGGTCAGCCTATCACCACCTGAACATGGAAGGAGCCTGGGATATGAAATAGGCAGTGAAGGAGAGCCGTCTAACCAAGAATACCTGTGCTGCTGTGTCAGTGAAAAATAAATCTTTATTCTGTTAAATCACTGTAATATGGGTTAATTCATTATAAAGGTTGGCTTACTTTAGAAGTACATCATTTATATATATTAAAACACATAAGCACATAGTTATATTTCAAAGATACATACATATCCAAACACATACTGAACACATTGAAGTGTGTGTCTGGGTCAGGGAGAGGAATGAGAATAGGGATCAGGGATTAAAAGAAGAAAATCAAACAAAAAGGGGCCTTGTATCAACTGATAACAAGAGGTCACCATGCTCCGCCAAGCATGGTTTAACAAGGAATTAAAAAATAATAATTTCAAAGAGAGACAACTAATCTACTCTTTGTAGAGAGAGCTCAGGCTAGTGTTAGCTGGTAATTATCTTCTACCTTGAGGATGAACAAGGTATGATCTGGAGAGGAGGCAGTGTTGAAGACAGAGCCTGTTGGAACCCTCCACTACATTCACCAAGGAAGTCTCAGGTCTGAAAAGTTCCCTAACTGAGACTTTCTCCCAAGTATGACCTTCACTCTCAGCTCTCTTTGGTAGTGATGCAGGAGGCATTTGCCATTCTCTAAACATGGGGCCTGGACCTGGCTATCTTCCCTTGGCACCACCTCTCACTCCAGGCTGAAGGAGGCTTGACACAGCTGAGAGGCTTGTTCTGGGCCTGGGTGCATCTTCCTGCCCACCATCCATCTCTGCTTGAGGGCTGAATAACTGTCCTTTCTCCAAAGATGTTCAAGTCCTAATCTCCAGAATCTGGGAATAGTTTACCTTATATGGCAAAAATTACTTGGAAGCTATGGTTAAGGTAGGGATCTTGAGATGGGGAGATGATTCTGTTATCACTGTGGGCCCAACGTAAGCACAAGGTTATGTAATCACAACGTAATCCTCCTAATAGGAGACAGGAGAATCAGAGAAAGATGTAAGAATGGAAGTAGAGGTCAGAAAGGCGGAATACTATGTTGCTGGCTTTGAAGATGGAGGAAGGGGCCATGAGTCAAGGAACACAAGCAGCCTCCAGAAGCTAGAAAAGGCAAATAAATGGACTGCCCCCTAGAGTCTCCAGAAGAGGTTACCAACACTTTAACTTAACCCAATGAAATTGATTTCAGACCTGTGACCTCCAGGACTGTAAGATAATACATTTGTGTTGTTTTAAGCCATTAAGTTTGTGACAGTTTGTCATAGCAGCAATAGAAAACATGTACACTGGCTCTGCTGCTGGGCAGTATAACCTGTTCTCCTAGGAGAGTAAGGTCTGTGAAAAGGAAATGGGGAATCAGGGAAGACTTCCTGGAAGCCCCTGCAGTCAGACTGACCTAGGTTCATACCATAGTTCATTTACTATCTATCTGTTAATAATGCATTATTTATAGTGTTGCTGAGAATGGAATACTACTTTAAATTTCCTATTCCTAATTAACCACTTTTTAAATTATAAGTCACGTCTCTTCCTGGACACATATTTATTCCTCCATTCTGGGTGTTACTGAACACCCGGTACGCACCTGGCCCCATGTACAGAGTGAGTCTGAGTCCACTGCAAGCTCCAAACATTTCTCACCTAAGCTGCCACTGAGCTCCCGGTCAATCCAGTGCTCAAGTTCACGACCCTATCCTAAATGCAGGCTCTCATACCTGAGCATTCACATGGTCTCAGGTCTCCTTGATGGACTCATCCCAGCAGCATCACCCCTTACCCTCTCAGGTGCTGTTTCCACAGCTACCAAGAGCAGTCTCGCCTCTGCCTTCACCCTGACCCTGACAAATGTCTGCAGCCCACTTAGAGGATAGTATGTTCCCTCTGGTTATATTTTCAAGACTCCATTTTCATCTCATTCTTTTTTGTCTTTCTGCATCTCTCTCCCTTTTCATGTCTTCTTCTTTGAGCTCCTAAACAGGTCCTCTTCATAACCTGGAAAGGTCTAAACTAACAGGAGAGCTAAGCCTTAAACAGCCAGTACAGAGGCAGGTAGGAGGGACCAAGGGTATGTGTTTACTGGCTTCTCTGGGAGTGAAATGAAATCTAAGGTATTGAGATGGGATATCCAGGTTACCTGGAGTTCCAAGGCAGCCCCACTCACCCACCTCTCTAGCCTCTCAACACCCTCAGATGCCTATCCAAACTGAGCTGTAACCCCTTGACTTTGAAGCTCCCAACTCCTAGGATCCAGCTGAATTTATCTTTCGTCTCCCACCCCATCCCCTGCTTCTAATGTCCAGGTCTGTAATGGTGAATTCTGATCCCATGATGTTGGGCCTACTCACCCTGCCTTCCCAGAAAAATATTTGGTCCAGGACTGATTTTCCTTGTATCCCTGGTCCAGATTAATGCACCCTTTACCCAATTCTGGTCCAAGGGTCTCTTTCCTCAGAGCCTGTTGCTCTTTCTGTAAACACCAAGCTGCCTCTCTAGGTAAGAACCTGAATGTTAAAACAGGGAGAAAATTGCTTTCAGATCCTTTGGGCTTGGATGATGTTGACAGGGTGCGGTGGGGGAATGGTCTGGCCAAGTGATGGAACTTTGGTGGATGGGCAGGTTGGCAGGTGATCTGGCTTCTTTAACCTGAGGATCCTCACAGAGTTACCACGGGCAAATCTGGGGCACTCTCTGCCTTCTCTAGGCCTGTCTCTCTAACCTGTCAGTGCAATGAGAGGGCTGGTCTTCATTAAAGCTCTATTTGAGCCTGAAGGTTTCACCCAGCTACTCCAGCAATGGTGCATAATGGCCACAAGAGGGCGGACAACCTCTTCAGCTCAGGAGTTTGTAGATGAAATCAACCAGCAAGCTTAAAAAAGGGAATACAAGGGTTTCAAGCAGAAAGGTAGTTACCCGAAGTCACCACAAAATGGCAACAGGGTCAGGATACTGGGAAAGGGTACTTGAATTCCCAGCCTAAAGGGAGGTCAGGAGCCCCGAAACCAAGAGGGATCGTAAGGAGAGGGCTGGTGGGCAGCAAAGAAGAGACTTACTTATATTCTTTAGAGATTTCAATCCCTTTGAGAGGAAAGGAGGAAACATGGTCTTTAGAGGAGAGCCACAAATCAAATGTATTGCCCGAAAAGGATCTGGGTGGGGGTTTCGGGACAAGACTTGAGGAGCTTATGGGAACTAGAGATGAACAACTTGGCTTCTGTCCCTCCCCCAACATAGAATGAAAAGTAGAGAAACTGCAGGACTTATTCTAGGATTTGAGGAAGAGTCCTCAAGTCAGGAAATGAAGTCACTTAGTCATGTCCAACTCTTTGCGACCCCATGAACTGTAGTCTGCCTTGCTCCTCTGTTTGTGGGATTTCCCAGGCAAGAATACTGGAGTGGGTTGCCATTTCCTTCTTCAGAGGATCTTCTCAACTCAGGAGGGCACAGTAAATAGGCAAGGATCACCTGACATCCTTTTTTTCTCCTTTTTGCCTTTCAATAATCTATTAATAGTTTCAGGGCTCAGGAAAGACAGGGACCAAAAGAGGGGCAGTACCTGGGATTCCAAGAGTTAATTTCCAAGAATTCATACTCTGACATCAGTCATAGCCCTCATCTCCACCCTGTCTCTGGGCCTGTCCCCTTGCTGAGCCCCAGGTTGGCAGCTTCCCTGAGTCCCTTCTTTGGTATAACTCACTAGGGCCCTGGGACCCAGGGCCAGAGCCAGTGCCCTGCTTGCTCTGCAGTCCCAGGAGTCTAGAGCTTGCTCTAAGAGAGGAAGGAAAGCAGTCTTTCCCTCCTACTCTCCCCCTCCCAGGATGCGGGCCCTAAGACCAAACAGCTTCACTCTTTCTCTGCCACGCCCCCCACTGTAACACAGACCAGGGGATTCCTTGTGTCCCAGCCACAGGGTGGCATCCTAGTGTCCAAATGGTGGAAGGTCTGGGGCAGGATGGGGGAAGGAGAATCACAGGATCTGAGAAAATATCCCCCCCTTTTGGAGACTGTGGTACACCCCAAGCTTCTCCCTCTGGCTCCCATCAGAAGTTGAAGAGACAAGGCTGAGGGACTCATCTGCATATTAAAGGCCTGAGGCCCAGAGTAGAAACTGAGAAGGTGTGGAGACACAAAGGCTGAACCTTCTGGCAGACAGATTTGGAGCCAGAATACAAGAATGGAGGCAACCCAGGGACAGAGTAAGACAAGGGACTATGGCAGGGCAGGCCAAACAGACTGTTGAGAGTCTGTAGGTGGAGGCCCCTGCCAGTTTCCTCCCTAAAAGCAGAGAAACAGGAGTGCAGGCACCAGACAGGCAGGTGGTCAGAGAGGAAGTGAGAATCCCTAGAATAAAATGAGAACTCCCTGTTTAAATAGAAAGAACCTTTCTAAGAAGTGCAAACATCTGACTGAGAAACTTTCCTGCCAGGAGGGTAGTATATTCCCATTTACAAGACGGAATGGTAGGGAGAATAAATAATATGGTCTCACTCAGCAGCAGAGGCTCAAATACCCCTATATTTATCATCACTAAAAGACTGGTACAAAGGAAAGGCTAATCCATCCTGGCAGGAAATGACATCACTCACCAGACAGGAAGGGGTGGCCCTACCAACCCCAAAGGCTTCTGGGAGGGCCAATCCATGGAGGGTTGGCCCTGAATGTCCATGTCCCTCCACAATCCTCCATGTTGGCCAAGAGTGGGGCTAAAGTTCCTAGAAGTTGGGTGAGGTAATCACATCCCAGTCCCTTCATCAATGATTTCATAGGGATGCTAAACCCTCAAATCTTTACCTGGTTGTGGGGAAAGGAGAAGAGATACTATCACACCTGGAGCCACAGGTCAAGCCTCTAGAGTCCATGTATCTATGGAAATAGCTCTAGGGACCCAATAATTGAAGGTTAAAGGCAGAGCCTCCCCAGGGACCAGAGGGATGGTAAGGCCAGGTTTCCTGGTAACTGATTTCAGTGCAGCCTCTTCCTAATTCCAGATAGAGGGAGAACAAATTCAAGGGAGACCAGGGCCTAGTGATGAAAGAGCCATAGGAGTGCAAAAGGGTGGAAGAGTTGTTACAGGAAGGTCACATCATCCTGGCACTGGCCCCAGTACCAGTGGGTCTCAAAGCCCAGCTTGGCACTCTCATCCTCTGGCGGCTCAGGAGGTGCACCTTGCAGCCCCTCCCCTGGGGGTTTCCACATGGCCCTCAAGCTCCCTAGCCTGGTGGCTGTCAGGTCCACCTCAGTCCTGGCCCTCTCCCCACCAGGTATAACCTTTGCCCAGTCCATCTCGGGACGGGGAGCCCCAGGGGGGCCGTGTTCATCCAGCTCGCTGGGCGCCACTGTGTCCAGGAAGCTGCCGATGGAGACACTGTCCAGCCGGTCAGTGGAGCTGGTGTCTGGCAGGCTGTCCCAGCTGCCTCGCCTTGAGCGGCCTGGGCTCCCGCCTGTCAGGCTATATTGGCTGCTGGTGAGGCTGCTGCAGTGGCTGGTCAACGTCCCCCTCTCCTCCAACAGCCAGCGCACCGCCTCAATGCCCTCGTTCAAGGTCACCAGCTGCTGCAGGATCTTCACATCGATGGCTCTCAGGTAAGCCTAGGGGAGTGGGAGAAGAAATCAGTCCTAGGTTCTGGGCACGGGTTTCCCCAGTGTTTCTAGAGGCCTCTACCTTGTAATCCAACAAAATATGCTTGACTTTCAAGAATCATGTAAATAGAATGGTTTGGACTGTAGGCATTAGAAGCAGACAGATTGTTGCTTAAAATCTCAGCTCTACAACTGATCAGCTTTATGACTGTGGGCAACTTTCTTGCCTTTGTTGGGCCTGGGTTTCCTTGTTTGTGAAATAGGTTTAAATGACTCACCTCAAAGGGTGGTTGGGAGAGTTTTGAGATGTTGTCTGTTAAATATGGACCACTGTACCTGGTATAGAGTAAGATCTCAGTAAATATTAAATATTAAAATCCAATCCTACTGAGATTTAAACTTCACAGATAGGATATTTACTACTGAACCAGTCCAGATTCACCAGTAAGACTTAGAAGCGGTTATCCAAAAAGTTGCCTTGTGGGGGGTCAAGTGTTAATTGGGAAATAGATTGGGCCAAACAGAGGCATGAGCTGGGGGCGTGGCATAAAGAGGATGCTAAGCTGGTCCCCCAGTCCCTCTGGGGTGTGGCAGTAGCTGCTGTGGGGAGGGAAGGGTTGGCTAGAGCTTCAAAGGGTCAGCATCCTGCTGGCTAGGGATTTGGGGCTTCCCTCTACTATACACCAGTCTCCCTTGCACTAAGGGCAAGTCTGACTTACTGGGTAATCTCTAGGGTCCATTCCAGCTCAGATGCACTGAGTTATCTTCCCCAAGCACAAGTCTGAACTTGTCCCTCCCTTGCTCAAGAACCTTTAAGGGCTTTGCACTGCTCTCAGAAAATAAAATCTTTGGAATATTTTAGCAGCAGATATTCAAAAGCCTGTCATAATATGGCTCGTGCTCATCCCTCTAACTTCATCTCTACCATATCTCTATGGGAACTCCAGGTCCTGCCACACATAACTTTTAAAATTTCATTTCATTTAGTTTCACTTTTAATAAAAGTAATAGATTACATAGATTAAAGAAGCAAACAGTTCTGCAAGATTTGTTAAGAAAAGTAACAGTTTCCCCATTCTAAATCCCACTTGCCAGAGACAACTACTATTAATTTTTTAGCTGTTTATTTTGTTGTGTGCGTGCCCAGTCGCTTCAGTTGTGTCTAACTCTGTGTGACCCTACAGAATATAGCCAGGCTCCCCTGTCCATGGGATTCTCCAGGCAAGAATACTAGAGTGGGTTGCCATGCCCTCCTCCAAGGGACCTTCCGAACCCAGGGATCAAACCCATGTCTCCTATGTCTCCCGCATTACAGGTGGATTCTTTCCTGCTGAGCCATCAAGGAAGCCCATTTATTTTGGTACTTACCTTCTAATTTCTAAATAACTGCTTACTGATTTTTAAGTATTTTCTATTGACTCTGTACATAATAGAAGGTTAAGGATTTAACTCTTTCATCCTACTCCCTATATCCCTGCCATACTCATACCCTCACCATTTTATTACAACATATGAAATAAAATTAATTATTCAGCATTTACCTTATTAGAATTTGGAAATGCTACTCACAGCTAAGCTATGTGGTTTACTGTGGTTACTTTTCCTTTTTTACAACTTTAAGTTTTCCTTTCCAGATAATAATTATTATCCTTATTATTACTACTACTACCACAACTATTTTGCCTAGTTTGGTATATTGTTATCAGTAAGTCATCCCTAAACTCTCTCCCAGTAGTCTGAATTTCCCTCTCAAAGCTTTATTTTTTTTAATTGAAGTATAATTGCTCTACAAGGTTGTATAAGCTTCCACTGTACAATAAAGTGAAACAGCTATATGTATACATATATGCCCTTCCTCTTGAGCCCTCCTCCCACCCCCCACCTCATCCCTCTAGGTCATCACAGAGCACTGAGTTGAGCTCCCTGTGCTATACAGCACCTTTCAACTAACTGTCTATTAGACACATTATAGTGTATATATATCAGTTCAGTTCAGTTCAGTTGCTCAGTCATGTCCAACACTGCGACCCCATGAACTGCAGCACGCCAGGCCTCCCTGTCCCTCACCAACTCCCAGAGTTCACCCAAACCCATGTTCATTGAGTCGGTGATGCCATCCAACCATCTCATCCTTTGTCGTCCCCTTCTCCTCCTGCCCTCAATCTTTCCCAGCATCAGGGTCTTTTCAAACGAGTCACTTCTTCACATCAGGTGGCCAAAGGATTGAAGTTTCTGCTTCAGCGTCAGTCCTTCCAGTGAACATTCAGGATTGGTTTCCTTTAGGATGGACTGGTTGGATCTCCTTGCAGTCCAAGGGACTCTCAACAGTCTTCTCCAACACCACAGTTCAAAAGCATCAATTCTTCGGTGCTCAGCTATTTTTTATAGTCCAACTCTCACATACATATATGACTACTGGAAACACCATAGCCTTGACTAGATGGACCTTTGTTGGCAAAGTAATGTCTCTGCTTTTTAATATGCTATCTAGGTTGGTCGTAACTTTCCTTCCAAGGAGTAAGCGTCTTTTATATATATCAGTACTACTCTGCCAATTCATTCCACCCTCCCCAAGACTTTTAAACATATCACATGCTCTATCTAGTCCCTCTTCTCCGAGGCAGCTTCTGACCTGCTCCAGTCTGTCCCTGCTGCACACCTACCCTCCAGAGATCATCTCCCTCCACTATCACCTCGGGGACTCCCTTTGCCTCTCTTGAGTTGGATCCCAATTCCTGGATCCCACATCTTTTTCATTGATTTACTCCTTAATGTATGTGTGGCACTTTTCCTCCAGTAGCTTCCCAAGAAAAGTCTGCATAGACTATACCTACATAGGAGGTATATTTTTTTGAAGCTTCACATGTTTTAAAACATTGTTATTCATTCCTCACACAATTGACTGATTAGCTGAGCACAGAAATCTAGGTTGAAAATAACTTTGTCAGAATTTAAAGCATTGTTCCATCATCTTCTAATTTTCAGTGCTACATTTAAAAAGTCTGATGCCATTCTGATATTGTATGTGACCACCTTCCCACTCTTTCCAGAAGTTTTTAGGATCTTCTCATGATCCTCAGTGTCCTAAATTATCACAATGATTTACCATCATGTGATTCTGCTTTCATCCTCTGAACTGGTCATTTGTTGGGCACTTTTAATCTGTAGGCTCATGTTCTCCAGTTCTGGGAGATTTTAATTATTTCATTGATGATTTTATACACACACACACACACACACACACACACATATATATATGAAAATACATATATATATATGAAAGAGTGAAAGTGTTTAGTCGTTCAGTCGTGTCCAACTCTGCAACCCCATGGATTGTAGCCTGCCAGGTTCCTCTGTCCATGCAGTTCTCCAGGCAAGAGTACTGGAGTGGGTTGCCATTTTCTTCATCAGGGGATCTTCCCGACCCAGGGATCAAACCTGGGTCTCCCACATTGCAGGCAGATTTTTAACTGTCTAAGCCACCTGTCCACCTACACACACACACACACATTTTTTGTTCTTCCTGGAAATATCTTTATTTGGATAGAAGGTACCCTGAATGGATCCTCTATTTTTTCTCTCTTCCTCCTCTTTCTATGTGTATTCTAGTTTGTGAAACATTTCAACATTATCAACCCTTCTATTGATTTTTTCAATTTTTTCCTATCATGTTTTTATTTTCAAGAGTTGTTTCTAGATCTTGGATTTTTTTTTCTTCTTCATTTTCTTTTTAGGTGTGGCATGCAGGATCTTTTACTTGCAGCATGCAGAATCTTTAGATATGGCTTACAGAATGTTTAGTGGGATCTAGCTCCCTGACCAGGGATCAAACCCTGGTCCTCTGCATTGGGAGTGCAGAATCTGAGCCACTGGACCACCAGGGAAGTCCTTACATGTTTCCTTTTATAACTTTCCATTTTTTGTTCATGACTGCAATATTATCTCATCTCTTTAAGGATATAATTAACAATTATTTAAGTTCTTATCTCTCTGAATATCTCTATTCAAGTTTCTTTTTTTTCCTGTTTGTTTAAGTCTATATAGTTAAAGGCTTTCATCAGTCTTATAATCTTAAGCTGATGCTCACACTTCAGACTGGTCTCTAAAAAAGGTGATTGGAAACTCTGTGCCTGAGGCTTGCCAACCCTGAACCTCACTAAGAGTCATTCAGTGAGGCTGTTCAGTTGGGTAAAGTAGGTAGTATCTTTTGTGTGTGTGTGTGTGTGTGTTTCTCTTGGGTTCATAAGATTCACTATATTATACCCATTTAGAGAATATAATGTAAGCAAAGCTGCCATTATTCTGGGAGCCAAGTAAGGGAATGGCTGGGAGGGGTATTACATAACATTTGGCATATTTTAATTTAATCCCTCTTGCTCTCAGACACTGCTTGGTGTCTCCCAATCTGGAGACCTTTGGTTTTATTATTTTTTAAATATATATTACTTGGTAAGTGTTTATTGAACTATTCAGGAAATAATTGCTTCACTTAGACCAACAATGATAAGCCAAAAATAAGACTGAGTATTTGTACACTGGAATTAAACAGTCCTAGATTCAAATTCCGGTTTTGCCGCTAATGAGCCATATGAAATGGGAATATTTTTTTCCTTTAAGCCATCATTTCTTCATGGTAAAAGAGGATACTCTCTAAAGGTTTATTAAGAAGTAGAAGGGACATTCACAGGCATGGCATACTGTCTGACAAGTATTCACTAATCAATAAGAGGTAGCTACACCTATTATTATAATTAACTTAACTACTATGGCATAAGCACAGAAAATCTTGTCCTTGGAACTATTTGTGTTTTTGGAAGAATATCCCAACTTGAATTCAATTAAACAAATGATTATTGGGTACCTGGATCTTCTAGTAATTACACAAAGACAACCTAGACAGCATATTAAAAAGCAGAGACATTACTTTGCCAACAAAGGTCTGTCTAGTCAAAGTTATGGTTTTTCCAGTAGTTATGTATAGATGTAAGATTTGGATTATAAAGAAAGCTGATAAAAAATATTAAAAATATATAAAATAATAATAATAAAATAAAAAATAAAAGAAAGAAAGAAATAAAAGAAAGCCGAGCACCAAAAAATTGATGCTTTTGGACTGTGGTGTTGGAGAAGACTCTTGAGAGTCCCTTGGACTGCAAAAAGATCCAACCAGTCCATCCTAAAGGAAATCAGTCCTGAATGTTCATTGGAAGGACTGATGCTGAAGCTGAAGCTCCAATACTTTGGCCACCTGATGCAAAGAACTGGCTCATTTGAAAAGACCCTGATGCTGGGAAAGACTGAAGGCGGGAGGAGAGGGGGACGACAGAGGATGAGATGGTTGGATGGCATCACCGACTCAATGGACATGAGTTTGAGTAAATTCTGGGGGCGGGGGGGGGGAGTTGGTGATGAACAGGGAGGCCTGGTGTGCTGCAGTCCATGGGGTCACAAAGAGTTGGACACGACTAAGCAACTGAACTGAACTGAACACAAAAATAATGGAGAAACTCTCCCTACTTAACAGAAGCTTACAGTTTCAATAAGGAGATCTGGTCATAAATAACTGAAGTACCATAGATTATACAGACTATTAATGACACAAGATAAAAGAGATTATATTCAATTATTTCATGCTGGGGACAAATAGATTAAAGGTGAAACCATTTAGTCCATGACCAAACTAAATGCATTAAACAAAACTTCTCATACTAAAAATGCTTCTCCTGCTTTATTTTCTCCTGCCTTCCTTCCTCTTTCCTCTCTTCTTCCATCCCTCCCTCCTTCCCTTTCTTCCTGCCTTCCAGCCTTCTGCCCTTCCCCTTCGTCCCTTCCTTCTGTTCCCTTCTTTCCAAAACGTACATTTCCAGTCTTCTGCGATGATAAGGGAGTAGTGGGCAATTAGTTGCTCAGTTGTGAAGGGAATCTTAAAGAGTATGATTCTTAGATAGACATTCATCAACCCATTTGTGTTCAGCTCCATTTGCACCCTCAGTTCCAGAAATATCTGAGAACAGCTCCTGAGACCTTTGAGGTGCAAAATGGATTGCTTTTCTGCTTTCTTCACTGCTGGCTTGGAATTCAGCTTTTTTCAAGTCTACTTAGTTACTACTCTTCCTTCTGCTTTCAGCTTCCAGATTTTATTCCTATCACCTTCTCTCCTATTCTTATCCTAATGGCTTCATGGCTTTAAAAATAAGCTCTTTACTGGCTTTTAGTGGAGTTTCAAGAGGGAATGGAAGTAAATGCATGTGTTTAACGTGCCATCTTGAACTGAATTCCCATTGACTCTATTCAAGGCCCAACTCAAATGTTGCCTCCTCTAGAAAGTCTTCCCCATACTTCTTCAAGACGAAATTAAGCCACTAGGTCATGGAACAGTATTTATTGAGTGTTTTTTATAGGCATGGCATTTTGTAGATAAAGCAAGAAAAGACACCATTTCTTGTCCTTGGACTGGATAAGATAAGACAAAGATACAAGCACTTAAAATTCAGAGCAAGAAATGCGAGGGAACATAAATGCTGCACAGAGAGCTGTGGGTACCTAGAGGACTACAACCTAACCAGGGGAGTAAGGAAATGCTTCCTAGAATAAAGAACAGGAGCTGCGACTTGAAAGTCAAGTGAGTCTTAGCCAGACAAAGCAATGGAGAGTCATTGTAACCAGAGGAAATAGCTTGCTTCTCCAATTCAGTTGTGCCTTTCCAGAACACAAATCTGACCATGTCACTCTACAGTGAAGACATTCCAAGAAGTACTCCATGGGTTCCAGCACCTGTACCACAGTGGCTAGTCTGTTTCTACCCTAACCTAGACTATGAGCTCCCTGAGAGTAGCAAGTCCCACCCAGTTCATTTATGGTGCTTAGCCTAGGATTGGGTAGGTCGGCTTCAGTGCTGTGATTCTCTGGCCTTCATTTTCTTTGGTGTCTTTGCTGGTCTCAGGGTTTGGGGGCTGGGTTTTATCACATTGGTGGGAAATGAATCTGAGCAGCAGATCCTGTAGTCCTGTGACAGTGGGATTCCCTGACTGTGACAGCACAGCTCCTCAGAATAGAAGAAAGCAAAGCTTTCTTGCCAGAAAAAGAAACACTCATTTCACACCAGTCTCTCTGGAAACAGAAAGGGGATAAACAGCGCAGAAGAGATGCAGCCTCAGAGGCCACTCCAACCCAATTCTCTTCCCAGGGGAATTCAGGTTCCCCATTCCTCCCTTAACAAGGACACATCAGACGCTCTGACCAGCCCTAAGGTCACAAGTACAGCTCACTCACAGGCTCAGTCTAAGTCAAGTCCTAGCACAAAAACCCAGAGATCTGAGTCTTAGCTCTCTGGTTTGAAACTGAGATTCCCAGAATATTGTTACCCTCTCCACCGTCCCCCTTCCCTCCCTCTAGAAGTAGAAAAACCGAGGCCAAAGAGAGTCAGGTCTCTGCTCAAAATCACAAAACGATTCAGGAGCAGAGCCAGGACTTGAACCCAAGCCTTCTCTCTCCCTGCCTAATGCTTTTTCTCAACTGTTCTGTGGGGGTGGGTTGCCATAGCAACAGTTCTGTGGGTGGGAGGATTAAGTATGGGAGGTTGCCCTTGTTTTCCCTTCCCACAGATCCCAGAGTCTGTCTGGTTCACTCAACTTTTGAGTAGGGGAGGGAAGTGGCCAAGAGGCAGGGATGACCTTGGCCTCAAGGGCAGGCCTGCCCGCTCCCTGCAGGAAAGCTGGGTGAGGGGCAGTTGAAGGACACTATTTACAGGGCTTGGACTAGTTCTGCCACAACTGGCTCCAGGGGAACCCCCCCACTGCCCTACCCCTTGTCCTCCCCAGCGCAGAGTGCATAAAGAGACCAAAGGCGCCTTTGCAGAGGAGGGAGAAAGGAATGGAGTAGGGCACTTAGGGAATCTCTCCCTGAGCAGGACCAGAAGGCTCCCCCACCTTGTGTCTTTCACAGGTAGTCTTGGGCCCCAGGCCAGGCTGGGTCAGAAATGCAGAAAGACCCAAACAAAAGTGAAATGTATCCTTTCAAGTTTACCAATAGGTAGTCTCCACCAGGGCTTCCCAGGTGGTGCCAGTGATAAAGAACCCGCCTGGCAATGCAGGAGACTGAGAAGACCCCGGTTCGATCCCTGGGTCAGGAAGATCTCCTGGAGGAGGGCATGGCAACCCACTCCAGTATTCTGAAGAATCCCATGGACAGAGAAGGCTGGCAGGCTACAGTCCATGGGGTCGCAAAGAGTCGGACACGACTGAAGAGACTTAGCACACACGCAGTCTCCACAAAAGACAGGAAAGAGTTAAAGCCAGAGAGACCAGCCAAGGCTCCTCCCAGTGTGAGCTCAGGCAAGCCCCTCAGCACCTGCAAGCCTGTTTCCTCTGAGACGGAAAAGGATAACTGCTTTTCTCCCTCCAGTGACGTAAAAGACATTTAATGCATCTGGCACAAAGCAAGTCTCAGTACTGAAAATGTAAAGTGCAGGAGAATCATCTGAATTCAAAACTTGGCTATACTTTTTACTTTTTGTCTGACTTTGGGCAGCTACTTAGCCTCTCTGTGCCTCAGTTTCTTCATCTATAAAATATCCCTTACCTAATAAGTTTCCGTGAGAACTAGGAGACTATCTTGTAAAATGTTCAGCATGATTCCTGGCACATGCACTTGGTGAAAGTTAGTTTCCAAAGCAAGACATTCTAAGTTAGCTCTTTCTCTGCCCTGAGCTAAAGTTTGTACAGTGAGGCAAAGCCAGACCCTTCCCTTAGGTGGGCACAGTTACAGCCCTACTGGGGAGAATCTGGCAATAGCTTCCAATCTTCAAGGCCAAATGCACACATGGCATTCAAATCCTTCCCCCAGGGAGCCTTCCCTGACTGCTTTGCCCACAAAACTCTCCTTCCATCCTCTCAGGAAGCCCCAAGACCTCCCTCCCAACGTCTCCCTACACAAACACACAGACACACACACACATACACACACACCCCTCAGCATGGCACAGAACTGGGCACAGTGGGGCTCCAGGAAGACCTATTAGCTGACACACTGTGGGCTCCTGGTTCTAGGCCAGAAAGTAGCTGGCAATTCCTCAGTTCCCTAGAATTGGTTGCAAAGTGGTGGCAGGTGTAGATCACCCCCTTCACCGGAACCAGGGCCCTAGGGAGCCTGGGAGGCCCCAACTGCCCTTTTGGCTCTGAATCTAGAGCAGCAGCAACAGGGAAGGGGCTGGGTGCTGGTTTCCTCCTCTTCTCCCCAAGGAAGTGCAGGTGAGATGCAAATCTCCAATGTACTGGGGGGGGGGGGGGTGCTGGCAGGAAAGAGACAGGGTCTGAGGAGGTGAGACCAACTCGCCGGTGCTGCTCCTCTGTGTCTGCTAAGCTCCTAGGAACTTTCAGATATTGTCTGTGGGTGTGGGGGATGCTGGGGAAAGAGGATGTTTTTAGTGGCCCTAGTCCAGGCAGTTTTCACCCAAATCTCTTCTGTGCAGAGTGTTGGGGTGGATACTGGAGCCACAGAGGAACAAACCCCGGGCCCAGTTTGGAGGAGGAGAAAAAAAAAACTGTTGCCCTGTAATGGTGGCTAGGGGGAAAGGAGGAGCTAGATTTGTGCTGTCCTAGCTTCTCAGGGCTTCCCAACCCTCACCTCTCCCCTCCCAATTATTTGGCAAAAAAAAAAAAACACCAACTTACCAAATCCTGCACCTCCCACTTGGAGTCAATACTCCACTCACCCTTGGTGGGGAAGGCAATTAATGAACCCCAAGGATTAAAGATTGATCTGGTAGGAATCCTGAGGAGTTAGGCAGGTGGTTTTAACTCTCTCCTCCCCAGCCCAACTCTGGGTACGCGAGTCCATCCCTCCCGGCCCCACGCTAGAGACTCCGTCCCCCTGGCCCGTGCAGCCCACACTCACCAGCTCCATCCTCAGCGCCATGATCTTGTCCCCCAGGCTGTGGCCCGTGCTAGGCGCCCCGGGGAGCAGCGGAGCGCCAGAGGTTCCCGGCTCCCACTCGCCTCGCAGCCCGCGGAGCAGCCCTGCAGGGGTCTTCCTGCCCACCTTGCCCTCCACGTCTCGCAGGTCAGGCGTCTGGGACTCTGCAGTCCCCTCCATGCGGGCCTAAGCCTGAACGGGGTGGGGCGACCGGACGCCGGGATCCCGCTCCCGGGGGGGTCCTCCTTTTTCGGCTGCTAGTGCGGGGCGGAACCGGTGGGTCCCCGCCCGCACTCTGTCGCGGAGGGAGGAGGGCGCCGTAACACTCAGAAAAGCGGCGCAGAGCTCGGTATGTGTGTGTGAGAGTGTGGATCTTCGGGTGCTGCGCATACACCTCTGGCTACAGAACGGGTGAGGCTGGGTGATGCTGAGTATTCACCTGAAGGAAACTCAGCGCCTTCTCCCGACTGTCGCGCTGAGTCCAGCCAGGCACTCAGCAGGCGCCCAATGAATGTTTGCTGAAGGAAGGTTAAGCACCCTCCGTTAGGGAAGTGGGATTTTAAGGAAGAGTGCTAACAGAGCTACAGAGGGTTTTGGAAGCCTTCTTGGAGTAGATTCTTAACCGTCTGAGATACCAGGGAAGCCCCTAGAGTAGAGGAGCTGGGTCTAAAACAGTGGTTGGAATTTAACTAGACTCACACACACACACACACACACACACACACACACACACACACACACACACACACACAGTGTAGCCACTAAATTTAGACTAAGGGAAAGGAAGTCAAGTTCTTCTGGCCAGTGAGGAGAAACCAATATTGAAGCTGATGCTTCTCATACTTGACTGTACATATATGGATTATCTGCCAATCTTGTTAAAATGCACATTATGATTCTGTAAATCTAGGGTGGGGCCAGAGATTCTGCATTTCTAACAAGCTCCCTGCTGGTGGCCATGTGGCTGGTCCAGGGACCACATTTTGAGTAACAAGGTTATAAAAGATGGGTCTAAGATGCTTGGATTTTATTCTATGGGCAATGAGGATCCATAAAAAAAAAAAAAAAAAAAACTTTTTTGCTCTGACTTGATTTTGTTTTTTAATCCAAGTAATTCTAGTCCATGGCATCAGGAAGGTTTATTATTAAAAGATAGTTACCCTGACCTATGCTTTCCCACATCTAGTCCCAATTCCCAGAGGCAACCACTTTTAGCTATTTTTTCCTGGTGTTTATACTCATAGCTCCACAATAGGCTTTTATCACCATCTCCTGATTTTAAACATTGTCTACTGACTTCCTATTATGATACACAAGATTTACTGCACTTTCTATACTTCCCTCCTTCCATTGGCCCTATACATTTCTATCATTATTTTTTAGGTTGTTACCTTTGTAATTTTAAGTAATATACTTTTCTTTAGTATGCCTTGATCCATGAAAGGGTTTTAAATCAGAGACAGACAAAATAGACTTGCCTTTTTGAAAAAATACTCTGGATTGTGCAAGGAGAATTAAAGGGGTGAATATCTGAAGTCAAGGAGACAAGGTAGAAGGCAAGAAACTAAAATGTCCTGCACAGGGGCTGGTTGTGAAGTTGGAAAAGAATTAGACCTGAATGGAGGAAGAATCTTTAGAAGGTATGATGGACAAGACTTGATAACTAGTAACATTCATTTATCTATACTGTCATTCAATAAGTATTTGTTCAGAAAGCAAATGATTTCAAAAAATATTATGGAGAATCTGCTATGTTCTAGCCATGGTATGTGGTACAAAGAATATAACGGTGAGCAAACAGACCTGGCCTGATTGCTGGAGAGAGACAGGGAATTGAGGGTGACTCCCAGCTGTTTGACCTGATAATATTCACCAAGGAAGGGAACCCAAGAAGACTGGGATTGAGGAGAGATGGTTCTTGCAGGAGTCATGTTGAACTGAAGGGGCCTATGAGAATGTTCACACAGTAGTTGAACACAGGTCTGTCTGGAGCTCAGAAGAAAGTCTGCAGAAATGAGTTTAGAAATCTAGATGAAAAAAAAAAAAGAAATCTAGATGGTTAGAGAGCTCATGAGAATGGATGAGATCTTCTATGAAGAGTGAGTTTGAGGAGAAAAGAGAGTTGGGGAGAACCCCTAGGGACACCTTTTTAAAATATGTTGGGATTTATTCTGTTCTAACACATACTTACTTATTAGAAGTCACTGATTGCCTGAACGACTAAGATAAGCCCTGTTAACATTTTGAGGATACCATCACACCATTTTAAGAAGCAGATGGAATACGGAGAGCTCGAAAAAAATCTAATCTATCTTCTGGCTTCCTCTGTGTCCTTTTAATCCACTGTCCACAGAACAGTAAATTTTCTCCTGAATTGAATTATATTGCTTCCTGCCTAAAACCGTGCCATGGCCACCCACTCATTTCAAATAAGCATCACCATCCCCTGGAAACTTTTTAGAAATGCAGTATTCTGCTTTGCCCTCCACACTCCTAAATTAAAAACTCTAAGAATGGGGCACAGCAATCTTTTTTTTTGTTTGTTTTGTTTTTGTTTTTTTTAGAGCATTTTCAAGGCTACATGCTTTATTTTTTTTTTTCCATTTATTTTTATTAGTTGGAGGCTAATTACTTTACATCATTACAGTAGTTTTTGTCATACATTGAAATGAATTAGCCATGGATTTACATGTATTCCCCATCCCGGTCCCCCCTCCCACCTCCCTCTCCACCCGATCCCTCTGGGTCTTCCCAGTACACCAGGCCCGAGCACTTGTCTCATGCACCCAACCTGGGCTGGTGATCTGTTTCACCCTAGATAATATACATGTTTCAATGCTGTTCTCTTGAAACATCCCACCCTCGCCTTCTCCCAGAGTCCACAAGTCTGTTCTATACATCTGAGTCTCTTTTTCTGTTTTGCATATAGGGTTATCGTTACCATCTTTCTAAATTCCATATATATGTGTTAGTATACTGTAATGGTCTTTATCTTTCTGGCTTATTTCGCTCTGTATAATGGGCTCCAGTTTCACCCATCTCAAGCAATCTGTTTTAATAACCCCTCCAAGTGATTCTAATGCAAGCTGAAGTTTGAGAACCACTGTGTTAAGCTAAATGCTTCGCACCTCCTGAACTTTATTAAGTGCTGTTATTATTATCAGTATAGTGAGGGGTTAAGAGGAATCTGGAACCAGACTACCAGGGTTTGAATTCTAGCTCTACCAACTTTGTGACACTGAGCTTCATTTTCTTTGTCTCTAGCATTGGGATAGTAATAGTTCCTACCTCTTGGAGCTGTTGTGTAATTAGATGAGTTAATATAGTACGGTGCTTACTTAGAACAGTGACTGCCATGCAGTAAGCATCATGTATGGGCATCCTCATTTCACAGAGAAGGGAACCTGTGCTGAGACGTAAAATGACCTGCCCAAGGTCTAGAAAAGTGGTATAACCAGGTTTTAATTACCCGTAGTCTTCAATGGCCTCGCATACACTAGACCTAGGTGCAGCCTCGCTCAAGCAAAGGGAGGTGGGTGTCTATGTTCCAGGCCTGTCGCCCTTCTGACCCTGGCGCGCATCGAGGTCTAGTCCAAGGCTCTAAGACTCCGACCCAAATCGGGTTTGCCATCACGCGGTCCTGGAGGCCGGGAAGCGGCTCTCCCCCAGCCGCCCACCCGGCCAGCCGGCTGCAAAGCATCCGAGGGACGGGGCACTAGCAGGACTCGCGGGCAGCAGACACGGGCCGCCGCCCTAAGCGCCGCCCGCCGCCCTCTCACCCCGCGGCGGCGGCGGCGGCGGCGGAAGCGGGGAGGCGGGCCGGCCGGGCCGGGGCGGGGCGGCGAGCGGCATGGAGGAGGCGGAGGCCGCGGCGCGCCGGGCCGAGCTGTGCGGGCCCGAGTGGGGCCCGAACGGGGCCCGGGCTCCTTGAGATGTGAGTGTCTCTGGACGGGGTTCCAGGAGGGGTGGCGTGTCCCGGGCGGATCCCCCGACTGCTCGGGCGGCCCCGAGCCCCGGGAGGAAGAAAGCAAGGCCAGATCGGAGGGGGCGAGGGCCGAAGCGGATAGAGAATGGTGGTGTTGGGGGTTCGCTGCCCTTTGCTCACCCCAGCACTAGGAAGGCCTGGGGCTTCATTCTTTTAGGGACTGATGAGCCTGAGAGTCGATTATTTGGCCTCCACCCCTGGGACCGTGAGCAGTCCTGTCAGTTTCCCCAGCCCCAGGGGAGTTTCCAGGTGTTCTGACCCCTTTGAAGGTTTCCTTTCCAGAGTGGTTGAGCTACTTTACCTGGGTCACAGAGCATGGATGCCTGCAGGGAAGAATTCCTGGGAGGTCCTCCTTCATCTTCCCAGAAAACATCAGGCTCTGGGAAGAACACCTTACCCCATGTGACCCTCTGGTCTCCTCAGATTCCTGCAGGCATGGGTTGGCCAGGACAGTGGTGACCCCCGCAATACGACATGGACGACTGGAAGCCCAGCCCCCTCATCAAGCCCTTTGGGGCGCGAAAAAAGCGGAGCTGGTATCTTACCTGGAAGTATAAACTGACCAACCAGCGGGCCCTGAGGAGGTTCTGTCAGGTATAGAGGTGTCCCCAAACTCCCAGGGGCTCCCACTCAGCTTTGCCCCCAGCCTAGGCTAGGGTCACGGGACCTACCTTGGCTGGCCCCACCCCAGAAAGAGGCAGCAGCTTCCTAGAAGGGAAACTTCTTTGTCTCCCGTCCCTACCAGGTAGTGGTTCGGGCCCAGAGTTCTGGAATCAGAACCCAGGTACAACCTCCTAGGCTTCTGACAAAGCTAAAGTTGGATCAGGAAGGCTTTTCCCAGGGCACACACCTGTCAGACAGGCAGGGCTAGGACCCAGGTCTTCTGATTCCCCGTGTGGTTCTCTGGGACTGGCTCCATCTCTAGGAACTAATTGTGGAGGGGACCAAGGAACTCAAGGCCTCCAATGGAAGAATACAGGAGTTCTGGGTAGGGAGCGCCCTGATGGAAGGGGAATGCCTCTGAAAGAGGTGGTCATGAAACTGGACCCCAGTCTGGGGGAGTAGAACTGGTCACACAGAGGGAAGACAGGCAAACCCAGGTTCTCCCCATGTCATCACTTCAGCCAGAGCTCTCATTTCAGAAAGACCCTCAGTGATCTGGAGGGGGTACACCTCTTTATCATCCCCGCCCCTCCCCTCAGACAGGAGCCGTGCTTTTCCTACTGGTGACCGTCATTGTCAACATCAAGTTGATCCTGGACACACGACGAGCTATCAGTGAGGCCAGTGAAGACCTAGAGCCAGAACAAGACTATGGTAGGGCCAGGCTGAGGCTGGGACTGGTGGTGGAGGGAGGTCCCCTGGGATACTCAGGCTGAAATGGCAGGCAGATCCCAGACTTGGCTGGAGGGACCATCTCCAAGACCTGTCACACCATCACAGATGACGCCCTGGGCCGACTGGAGCCTCCACGGCGCAGAGGCAGTGGTCCCCGACGTGTCCTGGATGTGGAGGTATACTCAAGCCGCAGCAAAGTGTATGTGGCAGTGGACGGCACCACGGTGAGTGGGCTGGTGCCTAGTGTAAAATATGTGAAATATATCATATGTAGCAGGTATTATCAAAAGTGATAATTAATATTAGTAGGCAGTTACTTCATTGATTTATTTATTTTTCTAACTACTTCCTACTGCCTTCTTTGATCTTGGCCTTGACCTGGACACTGGGAATCCAGAGGTAACCAGACCTGGCCCTTACTTTGAGGGGTTCAGTCTGATAAACTGTGACAGCTCCAGCATGAGGCAGAGATAGTCAAGGGCTCTAAAAGTCATGACAGCGGGAGCATATTGTAGAAAGATGGGATCTCTTTTCATGGGAGAACTATGGAGACCTCCTGAAGAGGTGGCCTTCAAGCTGGGTTTGAAGAGAACTATGTGACCAGAGGCAGAGGAAGGAGGGGAGGTTTTGTTTCATGCAGCTGTTGCTGTAAGTGCCCGTAAGACAGAGAGACCTCAAATGCCAGAATGAAGAGTTTGTCCTTGTCTCCACTACTCTGCAGGTGCTGGAGGATGAGGCCCAGGAGCAGGGCCGGGGCATCCATGTCATTGTCCTCAACCAGGCCACGGTGAGTTTCTAAGGGTTAGGGGACCTAGAGGGCCGGAGCTAAGTCCTCCTTGCTGGTGACACTAACTCACAAGAGGTGTGTCTCCTGCCAGGGCCATGTGATGGCAAAGCGGGTGTTTGACACCTATTCACCTCATGAGGATGAGGCCATGGTGCTGTTCCTCAACATGGTGGCACCTGGCCGAGTGCTCATCTGCACCGTCAAGGTCAGTGGCTTGCCCTTGGCCCCATTCCCAATGCCCCTAATTCAACTCTGCTTGTGGCCCTGGGTTCGTGCCCCTAATATAGCAGAGTGGCAAAAGCCTCTGGAGGAAGGTGACCAGATTCCAATCCTAGCTTTGTCAGTGGAGAGCACGACAGAGTCCCTACCCTTATGGAGTTTATACCCACAGGGCAAGATCAACAGAAAGCAGCCAGATAAATCTATAATGTCAGGAAACTATAACTTACATGGAGAGGAAAATTAAGCAAGGGAGACAGGGTGATGGAGTGTGTTTTAGAAAGGGAAGGCCTCTGTAAGTGAAATGACGTGTGCACAGAAAGCTGGAAGAAGTGAGGAGTGAGCCATGTGAATATCTGAAGAAAGAGCATTCTAGATGGAAAGGCAAGCACAGAGGCCCCTAATTGGAAAGGTGCTTGGCCTGCTTGCGGAACAAGCCTGCCAGTGGAGCTGGAGCAAGATGGGGGAGGGGAGGAGAAGGGTAGTAGGGGGATGGCAGGGAGATGGCAGGGGACAGAGGTGGGTACTGTGTGGGACCATGGTAATGACTGATTAGCCTGGTGACCTTGAGTGAGTCTCAGAATCTAAGCCTTCAGTTTTCTGGGATGTGATAATTCGAAGAGCTGATTTAAGTAAAAGGTTTTACATGGTGCTTGACCTGTAGTTAGTATTCCCTGAGGTCAAGTCTCCTGGAGCTATGCCAGTCAGGTTGATCACCTTCTCTGGTCTCCTAGGACGAGGGCTCCTTCCACCTCAAGGACACCGCCAAGGCTCTGCTGAGGAGCTTAGGCAGCCAGGCTGGCCCTGCCCTGGGCTGGAGGGACACCTGGGCCTTCGTGGGACGAAAAGGAGGTGCCGGCACCATAGGCATTCACCCTGTAGTATTCAGGGCCTGGGAGGAGCAAAAGTTCAGGAGATGGGGTGGGGTAGGGGTCCGATCGAAGCTGGTGGTGGTGGGCTGGATGAAGCTGGGCCAGGAGACGGGAAGAAGATCCAGAACTAGAGCCTGGATCTAGGGCCCCCATTGCCCCTCATTTCTGCCCCCTGCCAGGTCCTGTGCTTGGGGAGAAGCATTCTAAGTCACCTGCCCTCTCCTCCTGGGGGGATCCAGTTCTGCTGAAGACAGATGTGCCGCTGAGCTCAGCTGAAGGTGGGGTCAGTGGGGGCTGGGCTCCAGGGCAGTACCTGGGCTGGGGGTAGGCATTTGGGTTCTCTTTACAGGGCTTCGTTCTCGACTGGGTGTCTGGTGTTCTCCAGACCACACTGGCCTCATTCTCCCATCCTGTTGACCTCATCTCCCCCCCGTCAGAGGCAGAGTGCCACTGGGCAGACACAGAGCTGAACCGTCGCCGCCGCCGCTTCTGCAGCAAAGTCGAGGGCTACGGGAGCGTGTGCAGCTGCAAGGACCCCACCCCCATCGAGTTCAGCCCTGACCCAGTGAGTGGGGCTTTGGGCAGTGAGGCCCAGACTCTTCCCCAGCTTGCTGGACCTCAAGGAAAGGTCCAGGGTGGGCTTTTCCTGCCCCAGCCTGGGAGGGAACCAGGAGCTGAACACTCTTTCTCCCTCAGCTCCCAGACAACAAGGTCCTCAATGTGCCTGTAGCTGTCATTGCGGGAAACCGGCCCAACTACCTGTACAGGTGAGCCCGGGAGTGGGCTGTATCTAGCACTGAACAGGAGGTTGCTAGTGGTTGGAACCCAGGCTCATGTACCTGCAGAAAGAATGCTTGAGGTGGGTGGAAAGGCAAGAGATTCTGGGTCCCTTCACCTATGTGGGTGAACATGGGGAGTTGGGGCCCATCTGTAAGTACAGAGGAGTCCTGATTTGGGGGGACAAAGAGGTCTAATCCATCCCTGGGCCCCCCAGGATGCTGCGCTCTCTACTCTCAGCCCAGGGGGTGTCTCCCCAGATGATAACAGTTTTCATCGATGGCTACTATGAGGTGAGTGGGGCTTGGGGGCTTTGGGCAAAGCAGAGTGCAGGGTTGCAGGTACTGAGTAGCAATGATCACAGAGGCCTGGCAGGGGAGACAGCCCAGGTAAGGGCTGTGAAACATGCAGGGCTTGATGAGACAGAACCTGCAGAGGTGGGCCGGGGGTGGAGTTGAGGTTGGGGGCTGACATGTTGGCCGTGCCCCTTAGGAGCCGATGGATGTGGTGGCGCTGTTTGGTCTGAGGGGCATCCAGCACACTCCCATAAGCATCAAGAACGCCCGAGTGTCTCAGGTACCGCCTGGGCAAGGATGGAAGGGGCGGACACTTGGCTCCACTGTTCACCCCAAAGCTCATGTGCCCTATTCCTACTCCCCACCCAGCACTACAAGGCCAGCCTCACTGCCACTTTCAACCTGTTTCCGGTGAGTAGTAAGGACAAAACTCTTGGACTTAGAGGGGGAAAATGAGCATAAGTCTGGTCTTACTATATAGCAAGCTCTTCCTCTCTCTGGGCCTCATCCTCCTGATATGAAAAATGGGGGCAGTGCAGCCTGAGAAGTGGGATGGAAGTGGGAGCGACATGGGATGAGAAAGCCCCCTAGGGCTCATGTTGTCCTCCTCCCCCTTTAGGAAGCCAAGTTTGCTGTGGTTCTGGAAGAGGACCTCGACATTGCTGTGGATTTTTTCAGGTGAGAGGGGTGCTCCTCCATGCAGCTCCAAGCAGCATGGGGCCTCTTTGCTTGACTGGGTCTCCAGGGAGGAAGCCCCCCCCCCCCCCCCCCCCGCCTGCTCCAGTGGGGGCTCTTAGAAAGCTTTCTGGAGGAAGCAGGCTCCAAAGTGGGGGTAATGCCTGAGCAAAGGTAGGCTGGCTGGTGTTGGGGCAGGAGGAGAGAGCAGAAAGGATGAATGGAAACAGAAGGGATGAATGGGGTTTGAGGGGAAGGTGGAAGGAGGCATGACTCCTGAGTCCCATCTCCAGCTCTTCCAGCATCACTGTGTGACTGGGTTTGTCCTTGCCCCTCTCTGAACCCCTGGACCCTGCCTCTCAGTTTCCTGAGCCAGTCCATCCACCTGCTGGAGGAGGACGACAGCTTGTACTGTATCTCTGCCTGGAATGACCAGGTAGGCTGAGCAGCCAGGGGTCAGCTGAGGGATGGGTAGAGGCCCCAAGCTAACACTTCCTCTCATGGCCGCCTGTCCACAGGGCTATGAGCACACGGCGGAGGACCCAGCACTGCTGTACCGTGTGGAGACCATGCCTGGGCTGGGCTGGGTGCTCAGGAAGTCCTTGTACAAGGAAGAGCTTGAGCCCAAGTGGCCCACACCAGAAAAGGTACCCTGGCAGGGAAGGGTGAGTGGGCTGGAATCCCCTGCCAGCTCGAACCTCTTGAACTCTGAGTGTCTTCCACGCTGCCAGCTCTGGGACTGGGACATGTGGATGCGGATGCCAGAACAACGCCGAGGCCGAGAGTGCATTATCCCTGACGTGTCCCGATCCTACCACTTCGGCATCGTTGGCCTCAACATGAATGGCTACTTCCATGTGAGTAGGAGGCAGGGGTGTTGGGGCAGAGGGGCACAGTGTGGTAGATGGGTCAAGAGCATGGGCCCGAGCAACCTCAGCTCTGCCACTCACTAGCCAGTTAGCCTTGGGAAATTATTAGTAACTGCCTTTTGCATTAGTTTCTTTATTTGAGAAAGGAGGATAAAAATACCACCTACCTCACAGGGTTGTGAGACTTAAAGAAGTTAGTATGAGTAATATGCTTTGGACTGTAAACATTATATAAGGGTCAGCTGGTATTATTTTTATTATTGCTATTCTTAGCACTAGACTGTGGGTGTGGGGAGGGTATTTCTGCAGCCACGCACTCGTCCAGCCCTGCGAATTGTGCTTTCTCCTATCCTTATAAGTGCTGAGGGTGAAGCCTCAGCCTGAAGTGAACAGGGAGGGCCCCAGTCCCCACCCCTTCATGGCTGTGTCCAAAGGGCCACTCCCCAGTTATAGTCAGGGAGACCTTGAGAGAACCCAGTGTGAAGGAATGGACAGCTTGCAGTTTGGAACCTCCTAGAAGCCAGGAGCACCTTCAGAGGCTGGTTATTATAAGACCCCCACTCATTTCTGAGAGGAGCAGGGAGTGACCTCCTTTCCCTCACCCTCAGCTCCTTAGTCATGAAGTTCCCTCCCTCCCAGTCCTACCTGTCGCTTTGCAAGCCTCATTCCCAGCTTCTGTGGCCCTGGAACAGCAGGCCCAGGGAGAACCACTGGAGACAAGGACCAGCTCAGGGGCCAGTAGCATGAGATGTCAGTGTGAACTCTCTGGCAATTGTGGAGCCAGATTAAAGCTAGTAGCATGCTGCCAAGAGGATGAGGAAGACAAGGAAATTAGAGGGACTTCTATAGGTCTAGGACTTCATCTGTGGGTCTCATGGATATGTGGTGGGTCGGCAGGCAGGTGTGGGCCAGCCGGGGTAAGGCCCTGCTTTTTACCTTCACATCCCTTCCAGGAGGCCTACTTCAAGAAGCACAAGTTCAACACGGTTCCAGGTGTCCAGCTGAGGAACGTGGACAGGTAGAGGCTGCGGACACAAAGGGGAGATCTAGGAGTCTTGATAACCAGTACTTGACAGGCCCTTTCCACCCTGGGGCTGGTGTATTTACCCCAGCCCTGTTGCCCCCAATCCCCATGTGATCCCTTGAGGGGTTACCCCTCCCCTGGACTGATCCCCTCCCCTGACTCAGCTCTCCTTCTCCTTCAGTCTGAAGAAGGACGCTTACGAAGTGGAAGTTCACAGGCTGCTCAGGTATGGCTGAGGGCAGTGAGAATATGTGTCAGGGAGTGAGGAGAAGTCAAACACTGGGAGTCTTGGCCCCAGAGTTTGTGGGGCCCAATGCAAAATGAAAACCAGGGTCCCTTGTTCAAAAATTATTAAGAAGTTCAAGATAGCCACAGTAGAGCATTAAAAGCACAGGGCCTGTGTGACAGAGTCACGAGGTGGGCCTTGTCTTGACCTTTCTCCCCCGCCCCCTGCTGCAGCGAAGCGGAGGTTCTGGACCACAGCAAGAACCCTTGTGAAGACTCTTTCCTGCCAGACACAGAGGGCCACACCTACGTGGCCTTTATCCGGATGGAGAAGGACGATGACTTCACCACCTGGACTCAGCTTGCCAAGGTGCTCCAATACCATACCTCCCCCAGGAATACCCTTTCCCAAGATACAGGGAGCCTTTCTGGAGTCTTGTACTTCAGAAACTTCTCTTCATACTCTCAGAGCCTCTCTTCTAACCCCCTTCACAAATCCCTAGTCTTGAAGGTGCTGTCTCTTGCAAATTGAGATGGCTGCTGAGTGGGGTGGCGCTGGGCCCTCACCACAGCTCTCTGACCGATGTCTTTGCCACCGCCCCCCCTCCCCAGTGCCTCCGAATCTGGGACCTGGATGTGCGTGGCAATCACCGGGGCCTGTGGAGACTGTTTCGGAAAAAGAACCACTTCCTGGTGGTGGGGGTCCCAGCCTCCCCGTACTCGTGAGTGACCCTATCCTGTCCTGGGAAATGGAGACTCATGGGATTTGGCGATGTAGCTAATGACTGCTTCCCTGTCCATATTCCTATTCTTTTCTCAGGATGAAGAAGCCACCATCAATCACCCCAATTTTCTTGGAGTCACCCCCAAAGGAGGAGGGAGGCCCAGGAGCTGCAGAACAGACATGAGACCTCCTCCAGGAACCTGCAGGGCTGGGTACTGTGTACCCCCAGGCAGGCTAGCCCTTTACCCAATCCTGTAGGATTTTGTAGACACTGGCAGGGGCTGGGTCTGGTTTGTTTTTAACATGAGACTTAATTACTAACTCCCAGGGGAGGGTTCCTCTGCTCCAACACCCCTGTTCCTGAGTTGGAGGTCTATTTATTTACTTCCTTGTCGGGAAAGGGCAGGAGAGTACCTGGGAATCACTGGGATCCCTGGGCAGTGCATCCTGCCTTTTGCATACTCCCTCCTCCCAGGCCTGACTCAGAATCTAACGTATTTATTGACTGTCCTGAGGCCTTGGAAACAGCTGGAGCCTGGAGGGCCTTGATTCTTTTTTTTTTTTTTTTTTTGGACTGGGGTGCTGCCCTGAGGGTGGGGCAGGCTCTTACTCAGGAAACTGCTGTGCCCAACCCATGGACAGGCCCACCTGGGGCCCATCTGCTGATGCAGACTCACTCAGAGACCCTCAGACACTGAACCAGGCCTCTTCTCAGCCTCCTCTTTGTCCAGATTTCCAAAGCTGGATAAGGTGGTCATTGATTAAAAAAGGAGAAAAGCTCTGGGGATGTGTCTTGTGACTGTGTGTGTATGAGAGAGAGACACACACGGATGGGTGGGAGAGAGAATGGTCATGATAGATGGTGAGTTTTCTTTACTATCCTCCTCAGGTTTATTTTCCACTTGGGCTTCCCTTGTGGCTCAGTTGGTAAAGAATCCACCTGCAAAGTGGGAGAGCTGGGTTCAATCCCTGTGTTAGGAAGATCCCCTGGAGAAGGGAAAGGCTTCCTACTCCAGTATTCTGGCCTGGAGAATTCCATGGACTGTATAGTCCGTGGGGACACAAAGAGTCAGACACATCTGAGCGACTTCCACTAGTGCCATTTGGCCACCAGGGGATGCCCGAGTCTCAAACTCCCAGATTTTTACCTAAGGTCCACCCTAGAACAACTGAGCCTGACCTTTGCCCCCTACTTGGGACTGAACTCAGAGCAGCCACCCCACACCCCGTCACCACTGTTCAATTAACCATCCTACTGTTTCCTGCCCCGTTTGTCTGGGCCAGAGCACCTGTCCCCAGAAATGGAGCAAGAGAGAGCAAAATGGAATAGCTGGGGATGAGGAGGTGATGGAGAGCAGGTGAGCATAGTGCATGTGGGAAGGAAGTAGGCAAGACAGAGCTGAATGTCCCTCATGCAGGAAGTGAGGAGCGCACTGCAGATGGAGACACAAGAACAAGGATGCCTGTGGCCCTTAGGGTACTTTGTATACAGATTCTATATCTGAGCATTTTTCCAGGGAAAAGCAATCATTTTCATCAGATTCTTAACCCAACCAATGATCCAGAGATTAGGAAGATGTAAATCATGCAAGTCTGCCAGAAGATGGAAGAGATTATCCAGAGGAGTAGTTGATACAGCCCAAGGCATGGCATTTGGGGAATCTGTGAAGGACTTAAGTTCATGAAAGTGAGTATAGGACAGTTTGAGAAGGGGTCTGCCTGCAGAGCCCTTGTAAATTGAGCTGGATGAGCTCCTTATATGGAGCCTTTGGCCCAGGAGGCAGGAACTGGCAGGAACTCTGCCCTGTCACCAGCTCTCTGCCCCTGCCTCTCCCACTGGTGCCTGGAGCCCTGCTCAGTGATGGCAGGGGCAGTATGTGGCTCCGACATTTCTCGCCACCTTGACGCCTTCAGTGTTTGCCTCCAGAGGTAGAGATAGTGTTCAAGGTGCCACACAAGCCAGGTTGAGGAGCAATTAACCCATAATGAGGTGGAGGAGGCCCGCCCAGGGCAAACAAATCCCTTGCAGCCTCTGTGTGTGCACCTGGGGGTGGGGCGGAGTGAGGCACAGAGAGGTGGGATGGGTACTGAGTGCTCCACCTGCCCATTCCCCAGCAGACTCCTGATCTGGGCCTTGAAGACTAGCTCGGACCGTGTTGCACTGGCAAGGTTGCAGTTCTTTTTTGGACTCGGGACAAGTGATGGTTCTGGGTTGCCCCAGTAAAGCCTGGGAAGAAGGATCCAATGGTCAAAGGGAGGCAAGGAGGGCTGGTTTGCCAGGCTGGACTTGGCTTGGAGGTAGACACCATACCCTCTGGCCATGGCCTCCCACCTTAGTGCTCTCTCTTCTGCAGCAGTGATCAGATGGTTGTGTGGGATGTTGTGACTTAAAAGTGAATCATGCTGCCATGTCAGCCAGGACCCCACCTGGCTCAGGAGTCAGATGGGCTGGACCCAAATCCACGCCCAGCTTTTCATAGGAGGTTGTGGGCCTGGAACAAGTCACTTGGCCTCTCTAGGCCCAGTTTCTGGAACATGGGGGTAGTTAAGACTAAATAAGAGATCAGATCTATAGAGCACTGGGTGACCAAGACAGAGTAAATGAAATTCTTTCTGATGGCCCCAAAGCAGGGACAGGTGCGGGGCTCTGCCTGCCTGGAAGGGTAGGCAGCTTGGGTGCCCTGGTTGGGGCTTCTGGAGGGCTTCCCAGAACTTAAGGAATGACCCTCTTCCATTGTCTTGGCAGTATTTTTAGTCTCCCTGCCCCCTATTTGGGCACAAGCTTGTTATTTTCATAGTTTTCCAGTCCAGTGCCCCTACCCAGGAAGGGGTAGTTTCAGGCCAAAGTCCTCCCACATTATGGGGCTGCAGACTGGCCCAGCCCCCACCACCTCCCTCAGTGTCCTCTTGGTCATTCTTGTTAAGCTCCCTTCCAGGTCTGCAATCCAAATGAAGGTGAGAAATAGCCACCCACCTCCATGCTACTTCCCTTCTGCTGCCTTTCCAGGAGCCTCTGAGTCAACAACCCCACAGGAGTTTGAGGCCAGTGTAGACAAGTTTGAGGTCCCTCTCCCCAAGGATACACAGAGTCCAGACAAACATTTTAATGGGTTTATGAGTCCTGAAATGCCTTCTACACATCCACTCGGTAACTGCTGATTTTGTATATGCTCATGATATGGGCTGCCTTTCTCTAATCCCCCCTGTGGAGTACTGGGATCCCCAAGAGCACCCCCCACCCTTGCTCTGAGGGAGTATCAAGTGTTTAAGGGACAGACTGGAGGAATGGGTAAGAGGACTGGCTACCTTAGGGGCTCTGGAATAGAAGGACCCTAAACCCACCAATAGAAGGAAATGTCAGGCTCCACTTGAAGGGGGTGGTGTCCATTTGGTCCCGAGTCCAGAGGAACAAAGTCAGGTCAACTCCGGCCCAAGAGACACTGTTAGATTCTGTCCCCACCCTGATCACTGCCTCTTCACAGTTTTCATTCGACAGCAGCAGTGGTGGAAGGAGAAGCCAACTTATTCCAGATTGCAGTACAGATACATGGACACAATCATGGCAGCCAGCTGGTGGGAAAGGAACAGAGAGAGATGAAGAGACATACCGGGTTCCTTAAACTTTAGTTCCCTGCCCCCTAGACACTGATCGTGAAGCTTTGTTAGAAGTCTGTCTCTTCCAGAGAGGCCGCAGAGATGGGTCAGGCAGCTCTGAACCAGGGTGGGGGATATCCTGCCCCAAGCTCCTCTCCTTACCTCCAAGCCCCCAATTCCGGCTGCCACACCACCCACAGTGACTGCATTGGTTCGGATGTCATATAGAAGCTGTTTGAAGCATCCCTTGGGGGAGGGGAGAGAGCATCTACAGTCAGAAGCTGCTCCCACTCTCATTCGGCACCCTGAGGCCGTTAAAGCATCCCAACCTCCTAGGCCAACCTTTACCTGAACACTCATGTTATGGGCGCTGACACTGTTGCAGGGTTCCACGAGCGAGTGGTTGACACTGTTATAGCAACAGTATGGGGGAAAGGTACCACTGCTCAGTACATAGGGTGAGCCCTCAAAATCTGTGTAGTTGGTGAAGCCACAGCACTTGAGCTGGAGAGGAAGAAAAGATGATCAGAGGGGCCTTGCTTATTTCTCCCCACCCCCAGGTCTCCCCCAGCCCACCTTACCCCTTCCATGGTGGAGTTCCACACTTGAGTGAAGTCTTTTTGGGAACCGTACTCTTTCTTGATGTTGGGCACCACCACCACCGTCAGGAAGTTCTCAGCCTGGGTGGGGAAGGCCAGTGTTTACAGCCTGGTGGAGAGGGCGTGGCCCCCTCTCAGGGCTTTGCCCAATGGTACGCCCTGGCCCCATCCCTGTTCCTTACCAATGTAGTGTACACTAAGGCGACCACAGCAGCTGCAACCTCAGCAATGAAGATGAGGAGGAGGATGAAGAAGAACTGAGTGGAGAACAGGGAACTGAGTTTTAGGGAGAGAGAGCCTCTCATGCCTTCCTTACCCTAACTGTGCTCTGCCCTTCCCCTCATGAAAACAAGGCAGGGGCCCCGTTTGCTGAGACCCCTGGAATCCAGAGCAGGGTTTGGGGATCCCCAGGGCCTAGTGTCAAGGGTGAGGGGGCCCTGGGCTTTGGTTATGGGCCTGTGGAGCTGGGTTTGACACACCGTCATGAGGGCACACTTGTTCTCAGTCTGGGCACCATAGCAGCCCAGGAAACCAAGAGCGAAGAGCACAGCACCGGCTGCGATGAGGAAGTAGCCCACGTTGACGAACTGCATGGCAGTGGATGACATCGGTCCGAAGATCTTCATAAAGGATGGTCCATCAACCGACACCCAGATGCCCACTGCCAACAGGGCTGCACCACACAGCTGGGGACAGAGAGCAGACTTTGAAACAGCGCTGCCAGGCAGCTGCCTATCACACAGCTGAGTTAGGAAGATGGGAGATAAGAAACTTTCCCATTTATTGGGTATGGAGTCCAAAAACTCATCCTGTAGGGAGTTCTGACTCATCTTTAGAGCCAGAAAGATGGGAGATGGGACACTGCATTTAGCACCAGGCTGCACATCTAGGCAGATGTAAATGGGACCAGGGATTCCAGAAATAGCCACAGGGTGTGGGGGAGGGGCAAAGCTTTCCCTTACCGCTGCCACGGTCCTGCCACATAGCTTGAAGCGCAAACAAGCAGGTGAACACCTGCCCCCCCCCCCCTGCCAGCAGCCACCTCCCCCCATTTCGCTTCTGGGTTATAGGTGCCTGGAACGCCTCGGTTCTCTGATAGGCAGAAAGAGGAAGGTGGTAGCATTGAGCAGGTTCAACGGTCACTATAGCAACTGAGACGTGGCTGAGGTTTACACCTGCTCCTAACCTTGGACAGGGCAATGGTAAGAAGGGACACCCACCCTAAGGCCCCCCATTTCCGTCCCTTCCAGGACCAGCTTAGATCTCTCCTTGCCACACAAGTGGAAATTGAAGCACCAGAGATGGAGTACAGCCAGAGCTCTTAGAGGCTCTGCCCCACCTCAGAGGGGATCCTGACCGAGACTGGAAAGGAGGGCACTGCCCAGTTCCCACAGCTCTTCGAGCAAAACCTCACTGATCCAGGGCTTCAGTGGGTGAATCAGCCTGACACCACCCAGGTGTCCAGTCCCCACTTTCCGGCTATGGAAACTGAGGCTGGAACGAGCGAGGTGGCAGGTTGTGGGTGGATCCAGGCATGTTTGCCCGAGGACACAAAGCTGGGCTTCTAGCCTGCGGGGTCAGATTTCAAGGAGTCGGAGGCCTGCCCTGCCCAATCTGGCAAGGCCTGGACAACAGAGGCCAGAAACCAAACCGGATTTGCCTTTAACCCCCTCAGGCCAGAGCCCCTGTGATCCAGATCCCTGCAATCCTGCTGCCTTCTTCAAATACTGGGATAAAGGCTAATTCCCTGAAAGGAGAAGAAGCCCAAGGCACATGCTACACTAGTGTCAGAGAGTGTCCTCACCCCCAGCCCAATTCCTCCAAATTCATCTACACTTCATGTCTCCATTTCCTTATCCTTTGCTTGCTTTCACCCAGTTTCCTGTGGCTTCGAGGTCTCTGGTGACAACCTGTGTTCAGCCATGGGCGTATCCTCCTTGACTTTCTGACACCTTGCTTTCTTGCTTTGCTTCCTTATGCTCATTCTCCATTTGCTTCCTGGTGGCCTTTTCTCTGTTTATCCCATACAAGTTGAGTTTCCCTGTATGTGCTCACCCTGCCCATGGCTTCAGTGACCACCTATGGGCACATGACTTCCAAATATCCTAAGCTGTAAGTCCACTGGGTACATGGCTGCTGGTGAACTACCCACCAGGTTTGCTCTCAACGGAGAGGTGATGTGGTCATCATCTCCAAGACCTCTGTCTCCCTAGCCCCTTCCTCCATCCTCAGCCACCATCCAAGAGCTTTGCCTTTTGTCCATGTTGTCCATTTCTTCCCAATTTCACCACCATCTCTAGGTTCATACCTCATTGCTCAGCTTCCTCAAACATGCCCTATACAGTCTGTTCCTGGTTTTCTGAACAATATCTGATTTCATTGCCTCTGGGCCTTTTTGCATGCTTTACCAACCTCCTCACTATGCGCAAATTCCTAGCCTCAGCTATTTCCTTCTAGAAGTCTTCTCTGACTAGGCAGGGTTCAAGCCCCTCCAACATGCCCTGTGTTCGGACCACATATACTGTGGAAAACTGGTCGCCTATCTGGCCTGTTGGACCCAAGATCCCTGAGGGCACAGAGTCTTAGGCAGTGTTTGTTGAATAAATACAACAAATTCTGCTTGTAGCCGAAACTCTGCTCCCATATCTCTGGACCTTCTCAGCTTTTGGCTCCCCATCATACACGGGCCACTGAATTTCCTTCCATGATAGGTGAGCTTGGGCAAAACCCTGTCCCGTCCCCCCCCAACCCCAAGGCCCCAGGCTGTTAGCCTACCCTGCCCTGCTCTAAGTCTGAAACTTCCTGGAAGGAGAGGATGCCCCTAAACTTTTCCATCCCAAGTTGTATGGCAGCTAGGTTGCTCCTGGGACCAAGACTCAGCCTTCGGGGAGACTTCCACATCTCATCATCAGGAGAAACCTTCAGGAAGAGTATGGACATAGCAATCTCTTATTCCCCGGTTGGGGCCCTACTCAGGTTAAGACCCACTCCTGTAGGGAACCCCAAAGAACCCATAACCTCCATACTTACAAAGATGAGCATATTGAAGAGGATCATCATGACCTTAATGAAGCTGAAGCACCCCATGGTGGCTCCTGGGAGGCAGACAGGTGGGAATTAGGATTTCACTCCCTGCCCGCTTCCACCAGCCTGGACTGACATACCAGACTCCAGCATCCTGGGTTCACATAATTACCAAGCTTCTCCTGCCTCTGGACTCTGACGCCTCAGGACTTTCCCCAGTTCCCATTCTGACACCCCTAACCCTCTGTACTGCCCAAGCCCTCTACTAACACTTGACACTTTGACATTCTAACATCCTACCTGTGTCCATCCCACAGGCACCCCAACCCTGATTCCCCCACTTCAGGGTCACTCCATGTCCTTACCTGGCTCCTGCTTATCCTGGACTTTTGACTCCCCCCACCCCAGACCAATCCTAGACTCTTCCAGGACCGTCCCCGTGGCCCTTTCAGCTCCCCAAACCTGTTTCCAGATTGCTGTCTCTTCGAAGGAGAGTCTCTATCCTATGCCAACACCTGGTCAGGGGTCCTGGTAGTCAGTCCTGCAAGACAGATCTGCTGAGGCTCCAGAGGGGATCACAGCTCCGGGGGAACAACCACTGAGTGGGCAGGCGGGAGACAGGGCTGGCTCTCGCGGCACTGCTCACCTGTGGGCGGGGCAGGAGCTTTAAAGGCTCCTTCTGCCCGCCCCCTCACACCCTGCCCCATTCTGGCCTGCCCCTGCTGCCCCCTGCTGCTGGCCGCTCCCTCCCCACAGCCCCAGCAGCCTCAGGCCTCCGCCTGGCAACGCCAACCACAGCAACGCCCCTCCTGATCTGAGTAAGACAGCTGTCTGGGGCTGAGGTGAGCACCCCCCAGAACCGTGTGCCTTCCACAGCAAGGCACAGTTGCTTCCTAAGCTGCACCTGCTGAGACGGCCGGACACACCCTACATGCTCGCAGGTACACACACCTGCCCAAGCAGTATATTCATACCCACATACACACATCAACTCCTAGTGCTCTCGAATGCACACTTGCACAGGCACACACACCTGTGAACTCTGTGTGGGCTGACTCCTAGCGACAATCCACAGAGCAACCTCTGAGATACATACTGAAACTCTCATACACACACACACACACACACACACACACATTCATACAGGCATGCCCACACATGCTTTCAAGGAAGTAACCGAGGCTTGACATTTTCTGCCGCCTCCTCTGAGTGGCAAACAAACAACTCTTCCTCTTTCTCCCTCCACGAAGCTCCAACCCATCTTTTCCCTCCCTGCGTCTTTCCTCCCTCTCCTTCCTCCCCACACTTTTCTCTCCTCAGTCCTCTCCGCCTTCTGTGTACACCCCTTCCACTCCTGCCAGCAGAGGGCACCATGGCCCCACAGAAGCACCGTCCACCCTGAAAGCTCCGCAGCCCTGTTTCACCCGTCTTCTCGAGTCCTTTCCCGGCCGCTGATGTCGGGCTGCTGGGAAAGTTCTGGCTTTTAAGTCACTCAAACCAAGTGCACCAATCCTGGTTCTGTTGCTTATTATCTGTGTGACCCTGGGGGCATTTCTTAGACTTGGATTTGAGCTTCTATTTCCTGATCTGTATAACAGAATAGTTATGGGATTTTAAGATGAGATTAAAAATGAGATTTTTCTTCCCATTCTGGGACATAAAGGAATGACCACAGAGTGAAAAGTTCAGAACAAGGAGAGTCACAGCCAGAGGGGGTGTGGGGTGGAAGATTTTTAATTTGTTTTTATAATGGGAGGAGGCACCTGAAGAGACACAAAAGAGAGGAAGGCTGTTAACATGAATATTTGTACAGATATGTTTTCAGTGTGTAACTTACATCGTAAGTTTTTTTTCACCTTTCACAATAATCCTATAAGATTCTCTTTTCATCTGCTTTTTCAATATGGGGAAAGAGAGAGATAAAAGTTAAGTGCACATTTCTGAATGAATGAATAAATGCAGAATATGCTGTGTGCTCAGTTGCTCAGTTGTGTCCAACTGTTTGTGACCCCATGGGTTGTAGACCACCTGGCTCCTCTGTCCTTGGGATTCTCCAGGCAAGAATACTGGAGTGGGTTGCCATTTCCTCCTCCAGGGTATCTTCCCGACCCAGGGATTGAACCCAGTGTCTCCTGCAATGACAGGTGGATTCTTTACCACTGAGCCACTTGGGAAGCCTTGACTGCAGAATAGCAGGAGTTAAATGTCTGGGCTTTGGACCTTGGCCATCCCAGATTTGAATCCTTGCCTGCCTCTAGTTGTGTGACTTCACTTAACTAAGCCTGGGTTTCCTTGTACAGTCGATCACATCTGTGAATTTACCCACTCATAAAATGATCTGTAACTTCAGAGCACACTCATGGCACTTTTGTGGTCATTCATGTACATGTGCAGAGCAGCAAAAAAATTCAAGTTGTCCAACATGCTTGTTCTCAGATAAGATTGAACAAGGGGATGCTCTGCATTCTTGTTTCAGCTCTCATAATATAAATGAGTCTTCTTTGTGTGGTCTACTTATTGTCTGTCACTTTTTTACATTTATGTGCTTTTTGTCAGTGATTTTGCTATTAAATACCCACCTCCAGCATAATGCTGAAGTGCTCTCTACTGTTCCTAAGTACAAGAAGACTGTCATGTGCCTTATGAAGAAAATACTTGTGTTGGATAAACTTTATTCAGGTACATGTTATAGTGCTATCGGCTATGAGTTCAATGTTAATGACATCAATATATTTTAAATGAAGCACCTTTAATAGAAACACACATAAATTAGGTTATTGGTTAGTTAACAAGATATTATTACCAGGACTTGGTATGAATCTGATCTTGTATTTCTCCTGGAAGCATTGGCTAAATATTTGCTAATACCGTGATTGTGGTGACTGTATTAGAACATAACTACCATGAATAATGAAATTAGAAGATGCTTGCTCCTTGGAAGAAAAATTATGACCAACCTAGACAGCATATTAAAAAGCAGAGACATTACTTTGCCAACAAAGGTCTGTCTAGTCAAAGCTATGGCTTTTCCAGTAGTCATGTGTGGATATGAGAGTTGGACTATGAAGAAAGCTGAGCACCGAAGAATTGATGCTTTTGAACTGTGGTGTTGGAGAAGACTGTTGAGAGTCCCTTGGACTGCAAGGAGATCCAACCAGTCCATCCTAAAGGAGATCAGTCCTGGGTGTTCATTGGAAGGACTGATGCTGAAGCTGAAACTCCCAATACTTTGGCCACCTGATGTGAAGAACTGATTCATTGGAAAAGACCCTGATTCTGGGAGGGATTGGGGGCAGGAGGAGAAGGGGATGACAGAGGATGAGATGGTTGGATGGCATCACTGACTCGATGGGCATGAGTTTGAGTAAACTCCGGGAGTTGGTTATGGACAGGGAGGCTGCAGTCCATGGGGAAGAGTCGGACACGACTGAGCGACTGAACTGAACTGAACCACGGATAATTATAATCGACTGTATGTGAAATAGGAATAATGATAGAATCTCCTTGTAGGGTTGTTGTGGGATTAGATGAGGTAATGTTTGTGAAGGACTTGGCACCATATCTGGCACATAGTAAGTGCTCAGTAAACAATGTTAATATTATTAACATTGGATGAGTGAAAAGGTGAGGGAGTGAATTTTTTACTCAGAGCTCTTTTCCCAAGGGGCTAAACTGAAGTTTTCTGTCTCTGGGGCTGGATCCCTGGAGGGAATTGTGAGGGAGTCAGACCCTTAGGGAGGGGCTGGGGACCAGGATCTGTAAAAAGAGCATCACTCTTACACAAACTCTGTATGTCATAGAGGCCTCATTGCCCTGGCCAGTAGCACCATCAGGCACCTTACAGAAGCTCACTGCGCCGATGGGGCCTTCTCAGCTTGTCCGTGCCCCTCGGTCCCGGGGCTTAAGTTCCCCCTACCGTAGGCCAGGCGTGGGTTGGCCTCGGCCCCGCTTTCCCAAGATGTTCAAGTGTAGCCGCAGAAGGTACCGGCAGAAACGGCAAGGCCCAGCTGGCACCACTGTAACCATCAATCTTGCCACTGTGGCCACGGATATCAACGACACCCAAACTGCCACCACCAGGGTGTTGATCCTTCCACCGCAAGGTGGGCTGAGGGCCCTGAGCCAGGGTGGGGTGGCGTGGGGGTGGAAAACAGGGCCACTGAAGTCCTACCCACGTGAGCCCTGTGCAGGCACTCTAGGGGACGCACCTTCTGTGAATTATCGCCCCAAGGCATGGTGGGGTCTTGGCAGGCACCCCAGAGGCTGAGCGCCTTAATGGAGGAGGACGTGTTGGCTGAAGTGGACAGCTTGGGAAAATGGGAGAGTCTAAGGGCAGTGGAGCTTCCTCACACTTTTTCCTCTCTCTCCTCTCCTCAGTTCTCAGACACCTCTGTCAACCTGGCAGCTTTCTGATCCTCTAGAAACATCCAGAAACTAGTCCAGAAGCTTGGCTGGCTGCGGACCTTCATCTCTTCAGGGGCACGGGCAGTGAACAGCAGACAAATACAGTCCTTTCTGCTCCAACTACTTTCCTCCTCTCCCAGGTGCTTCCAGCTGACTATAGAGGGTATGAGGGTAGGGCTAGGGCTGAATGCTCCCAGGGATAGGCTTCAGCGGCAGCAGCAGGCATCACAGGAAGACATTGGAAGGACAGAACAAGGTCAGCAACACATACCATCTTTGGCTTCAGCTTTTGCTCTGGCCTATGAGGTGGGGGTCCTTCCTGCTTTGCACTCCCATCAGAACAGGGAAAAGGGTCTCCGTAGACATCTTGGAAGGTATAGGGACCTGGGTCGTTGGGGAGAAGGGTAGAGGCATAAATCAGAAAAAGATGGCATGAAAGACAGATTGTACTGCTCCAGTGTAATGAGTGCCTGAGTGTGAGGTGTGTGTGCCTCTGTGTGCTGTGAGGGTCAGTGTGAGTGAGACGGAGAGAATGGAGGTTGAAGCAGATGTGGCTGAGTGTGCCTTTGCGATGAGTGTGTATATGTGGCCAGCTGTTTGTGTCAAGGTGTGCGTGTGTGAGGGTATGAATGGGCCAGGGAGGCAGGCGTCTGCTCCACCAGGAAGAATGAAGGTCAAGAGGGGGATGGGGTCACCCAGAAGTAGGAAAGGTTTAGCTTCCGAGGGGGTGCACCACCTTCAGCCCCCACAGCCATTCTCTGAGGTTGGTATTTTCCCGGACTAACAGCTGAGCTGGGGCATTTGGGGGTGGGGCGAGACTGAGTTAGCATCCAGGAAGGGGGAGGGTGCTAAGCACTCAGGCCTGGGGATTTTCCATTTGGATTTCTGCGTGTGTGCCCATGTGTCATCGGGTGTAACTGGGTTTCTGTGGGGTGTGTCTCCGTGGAGTTTGTGTCTCAGAGGCAGGAAACACTGTGAGGGATTGTCTCTCATGTGTCACTTTATGCACAAGTAAGTGAGTGTCCCAATGTCCCGAGGTCTGGCTCCAGTTCCAGGAGGGTGGGGGTGGGAGTGAACTGTGAGACCTCTGGCCTGGCCCCCTGGGAAGCCTGTGAGGAGAAAATGAATTGTGTCTGCTTTCCTCCACTCTAAGGCTTGCCAGAGACTGGGTGGGACCTGAGAGGAGGAGGGGGACAGAGAATTCACTGACATGCCAGTGCCCAGACTATACTGGTGGAGGATGAGGCTTCTTGGGGTTTGGGGAAAGGTGCTGAACCCCCAGTCAGAGCTGGAGGCTGACTAGCTAGTGCCCAAAGCCCGCATGGATGCCCACACATATAAAGACATGTGACACAGTCCAGGAACTCATGCAGACGTATAAACACAACTGGTACTCACAGATAAACAATGTAACAAATTCACACCTGCATGCAAGTACACGCCAAGTACACCCCTATAAACAGATATATGCACTGACACAAATACATATAAACCTTCCCACCTGACACAGGTAATAATACACACACATGCCTACAATGAGCACACACACACAAACATGCATGCACCTGGTTACAGCACACAAACATATAGACTGACATATGCAATCCTGCTCATGCCAACACAGGCACACACTCATGCAAACACACTCACCAGACTTCCCTGTCCCTGTGGCCTTGGGACCCAGAAGCCTGCCTTCCCCTATGTGAGACAGTGTGTGTGTAGTGGGGGTGTATGTGCATGCCCACCCTTGTGTCTCTGTGTATCTGAGGCTGTGAGATTGTATGTGGATGTGTGTGTGTGCACGTGCGCGTGTATGTGTGTGTGTGTGAGAGAGAGAGGGGGTTGCTTAGCTGTGGGAACGGGATGACATCATCTCTTCTGGCTATTTTTAGCTTCCTCTGCAATGACGGCTCCTTCACTGCCCCTCCCCCGCCAGGTTCCCAACTCTCCTTCCCCTTCAAGCTCCCAGAGACAGCCACAGCCAATGGTCCCCCTCATCCTAAGTCTAGGTGATCCCCTGGATCACTAATCCGGTTCACTCTCTCCCACCCCAGTCATGGCTCCCTGGAAGCTGAGAACACCGGGCTCCCAGGCCAGAGAAGGAGACTCGGGCAGTATGGCAGCCTGGAGAAGGGGCCTGGGTTAGGTGAGCTGACCTGGCTGGTCTCCAGCCCCTAGGGTGCCTCTCCTTCTGCTTTTCAATCTGAAATCGGGTCTCGGTCAGTAGTGCCTGCTATGTGCCAGGGAGGATGCCAAGTTCTGGGGATAGCGCAGTGAGCATGACTGTGGGAGTTCTTCCTGGTTAGGGTTGCAGCTCGGTGGGAGACAGACATTAAACAGAGCACACAGGTGCAGCCCTGATCTGCAGCAAGGGCTCTGAGTTGGTAACGAGGGCATTCAGGCTGGGATGATGGTCTGTCTCTCATAGAGGTGACCTGAGGAAACCAGAGGGACACATTCCCTTTACCTTATACCTCTCACCCCAACCACCACACCTCCAGAATTCCACCAAACCCTGCTTCCTTCTCTCACCTCATGCTGTGCTCCCAACACTGTACCAGCCCACCATCCACCTGGTGGTCCACTGCTATTTGTGGCTCTTTTCTTTGGAGCGTCCCCACAGTTGATCCCTGGGAGGCAGAGCAGTGTTCCCCATCTATAGATGAGAAAGCTGAAGGCCAGAGAGGAGTAGTACCAGACCACACCTGCCCCTGCTCAGGGAGCAGCCCAGAGAAGATGGCAGGCAGGTGGAGGAGGAAGCGGTGGTGGCACTGGTGTAGAAGAAGCAGGGGATGACATCAGGAGGTGGGGGAGGGGATGCCTGTGGCCTGAGGGACTCATGCCTGGAGGAGGGCTTCCTGCTTTACCCAGCCTGGGGCAACCACTGGAAAATCGGGTTTGGCAGCTTCAGCTGGGCCGCAGGGCTGGAGGAGAGGTCTAGACCGCAGAGAGGTGGCCTGGAGGCGGGCCTATCCTCTAGCATGGAGTGTGGCCAAATGGTCTCATTGGGGGAGCATTTTATAATACTGGGACCCTTTGGAGAGTGTGGGCTGAATTCAGGAGCCCAGAGGTTCCATTCTCTGGTGTGACACTTAGAAACTCCTGCCCCTTTCTTGGCCTCAATGGCCCCTCCCAGAAAGTTGCTCTGGAGGATCAGTTTCTCCACTTCCAACTCCTGCCCTCCTAGGAGGGCAACTCCTGTTTCCTGGGAGTCTGACTCAGGCACAGGAGCACAAAGCCAGTGGGTAGGGGCTGACCAGACAGCCCCTAGGGCGCCAGGTTGGAGGTCCCTTGTCACCAGTGGGTCAATGGCCGGAAGCCCAGCTCCAGCCCCACAATGCAATACCGGTCACCCCACCCTTACCAGTGCCCTCACCCACACCCCCACTTCCGGCCTCTGTTGCTTCCTCACCTTCAGGGAAAGCTGCAGGGCTCCCTTGGGGATCTCCCATATCTCCTCCACTGGCTCCCTGCCCTGTGCTTAACCCTCCCCCTCTGCCCATTTGAGCAGGCCAGTCTTCCAGTAAACTTTCTTTTCCTGGACCTTCAGGCAGTCCAGGGAGGAAAGGAAGCTGGGTGGGAGGGCTGTAAAGGAGCCTGCTTTTCCTCCTGCCCTCAGATGTTGTTGTTCAGTTGCTAAGTCGTGTCCAACTCTGCAACACCATGAACTGTAGCATGCCAGGATTCCCTGTCTTTTACAATCTCCTGGAGTTTGCTCAGACTCATGTCCATTAAATTGGTGATGCCATCCAACCATCTCATCCTCTGTCATCCCCTTCTCCTCTTGCCCTCAATCTTTCCCAGCATCAGGATCTTTTCCAATAAGTTGGCACAATGGGTGGCCAAAGTATTGGAGCTTCAGCTTCAGCATCAATCCTTCCAATGAATATTCAGAGTTGATTTCCTTTAGGATTGACTAGTTTGATCTTGCAGTCCAAGGGACTCTCAAGAGTCTTTCCCAACACCACAGTTCAAAAGCATCAGTTCTTCGGTGCTCAGCCTTCTTTGAGAGGTTTGGGGGAGGTGGGTGGACTGAGTCCATGGGCCTAAGACTGAGCTTCCCAGGGCATGTATCATACCTGGCAGCCCCAGGTGAAGTAGGAATGCTACCCTTGACCCATCCAGCTAGCTTCTTCCTCTGCCTTCAGCAAATTCAGAGATAAGAACCTAGAGCAGATATTTGCATCCTCTGGAGGACAAACAAGAAACTCATGCCAAGTGAATTCTGACTGTTGACATCATGTCAATGACAAATTTATGAAACAAAAATCACAAAATTCTGGATGCATAGAATCCGTAGTCACAGAATCTTAGCATCACAGAATTCCAGCATGGTGCAATGCAAGTAAAAGCATCTTAGAAACACAGAATTCTGGCATCAATGAGTCCCAGATGACAAGGCTAGAGTGTCCTTGAGATGGAAGTCTTGAGAAGTCAATTAGTAAAGGGTGGAGGTCTAAATCTGGGGATTCCCCATTGGTGATGCTCACAGTAATTCTCACATGAACTTGAAGGAGGAGGCAGAGCTTGGGACACATGAGTTTAGTTAGGATGAGGAAACACACCTGTAATAAACAAGACAGAAGACAGACCTCTTTCATAAGGACACATTCCTTGTTCCTGAGGGTGAGGGGAGTGAAGTGGCAGTGAGGAGAGAGGGGAACTACATAAACAAAGAAAATACAACCTAAAGAAAAGATCAAGTAGCAAAATACACTGGCCCTAATGCCTCCAGCTTCTCCAGGATTGAGGTGAACATCAGCTCAGGACATTTTCAAAGGTTAGCAAGACTATTTATTGCATTGGAGTGGGTGACCCATGGCTGGCTTTTTTTTTTTTTTTTTTGCTAGAAAGGTACCAAACAGAAAATAGTTCATATACTACATTTTTCTTGGGGCTGCTGGCAGGAGCAACCCCTCTCCAAAGAGATGCTGATCTTGGAGCAACATGATGTACACCAAAGCCACTTTGTAGGGTGGGGTTCACAGCCCCCAGCAAGGCCCTGGTAAGGGACCTTGTGGAGGGCATCTGTCTGGGGTGGTGCCTTTTGGGGGCGGGCATCTCTATGGAAGGAGCCAAGTTTGAGGCAGCATTTTGTATGGGGACCCTTGTCTGATTATGGG